ACGGGTTTGTTGTGGAATAGGATTTGGATGTTTACGCTTTCGTCTGAACTCGGTCGCACCTGCAGCAACGGAGACTGGCCGGCGCGCTTGGACCAGAATAGTCACATGACTATCGTCATAATGCCCGTGCAATGACACTACTCTCTAATTGCCAATGTAAAGGAAAAAGAGATGAGTGAATGCAACATTATCGCCATCCAGGATCTGGCTTCGTCGCAACGCAAGATAGACGCACCCGATTTTGTCTTATCGGAGTGCAACTGCTGCGTTCTGGCTGGCTCGTGAAAGGCGGTGACGTATTTAGCGATGACGAGCCCACTTCCTCCATCCCACAATCTCCAGGCTCCACGTTCCTGCTCCTCCCAACATACTGAACACATTGCAGCCCTTCTGCTACTTCAACCACATTCCATTGCATCCTAACCTTTGCAACCCACCACACTCAACCCCCAAACAAACCTCAACATGTCTGTCCAGGATAGAGCCCAAGCCCAGCTGTCGCAGCTCGACAAGGAGGTAAGCGCTCTCGCTTCCGCACATGGCACAATTGCCAAAATACGACCTGTCTAGGTGTTTTTGATGAGAAGTCATGATAACAACAGTTTTCATACGAAGCCACATATACTGACCATGTTGCGTTCCAGCTGTCCAAATACCCCGCACTCAACAACTTTGAGAAGCAAACATCGGTCCCCAAGGTCTACATGATCCTCGGTCTTGCCGGTCTTTACTTCTTCCTGATCTTTTTCAACATTGCCGGAGAATTCCTCGTCAACATTGCCGGATTTATCATTCCTGGTTACTACTCGCTGGAGGCCCTGTTCAGCGCGAGCAAGGTCGATGACACTCAGTGGCTGACCGTACGTATACCCAATCTGCTTATCTCTGGCAAGCAACCTGGCCATATTATGACTACTTCAATTTTTATGATAGGGCTAACACGATATCACAGTACTGGGTGACTTTCGCGTTCTTGACTGTCTTCGAGAGCGCCGTCAACGCTGTCTACTGGTTCCGTAAGTACGCCCAGATGAACTTGCATGATCTTTGACTGATCTTGGCAGCCTTTTACTACACCTTCAAGTTTGTCCTTATCCTCTGGATGGCCCTTCCCCAGACTTCGTAAGTATTTCTTCCTCCATGCGCAATGATACAAGCTTACACCCCACAGTGGTGCCCAGATCGTCTTCCGCTCTTTCCTCCAGCCCGTCTTCTCTCGCTACTTCTCCACGTCAGGCTCCACAGCCGCTGACCTTCGCGCCAAGGCCGACTCAGCTGGCAAGACTCATGCCTCGTAGAGCAGTCGCGAGCATAACCCCTCTTTGACGGCCGCACGACTAGATCATAATAATCGGGACGATGTTCGGGATACGCCCTCTGCTGTGCAGGAGACGGAAAGACCGAGCTTCTCAAGGCGTGCGGCTGTTGCGGCTTGGAAACGCTGCATGGACGAAGGCTTACGAGTTACGGATAATGTTCATGGCAGTGTTGGTGTGCGAAAGAATAGACAGGTATCCTTACGTTTCGTGATTACTTGCTCATAAGGAATCGAATTGGGTAATATGTTGCAGTCGTTGGCGGTGGAGTTCTGCGACTTGCTTACGAGCAATATCATGTATCCGAGTCTGGCTTGTCCTCTGGCAAGCATCAATCATATATTTATCCCCCATGTTCCATTAAAAAAAAGTTACCAATACGTTATGTGGCCTGAAGCTGGTGACAGGTATCTTGTCTAGATCAGTACCAAAATGCGTTTGTAGCATTATGCAACAATGCGAATGGAATCTGGACCATGCTTACTAGTCATACTGACTGATGTTTCAGGAATTATTCCTTTTCTCACTTTGATCTCGAGCGCCGCTGCTTCGCCAAAGGTGATGATCGATGTAGATTGAACGATGATAAACTCCTACGCAATTTTTTTTCCTCAAAGCATCCAGCTTTTGCAGCTGGTTTGTGAATACCAACCTCAGCTCTATTCACGCAGCGAAGCATAGTAATATTTCATGCTCCAGTGCCTTAGAGCCAGACAATCGACAAAGTAAAGCAATTTGTTCCTCATTGTCTAAGTGTCTCATGTGCCTATGATCATATCTATAACCGTCCAATATCCTAGCCTGTACCAAAACAAAAGATTTGATGAACAAGCAGATACGGGTTAAGATATGCATGGTATGAACTGCCTCGGCACCAATCCGATCCCGCTAGTTCTGCTCATGTCATGATTATCATTCACTTCATCAAATCGCCTACCTACCTAACCCGAGGCTCAGTTAACCATTCCCGAGTCTTAACACTACCAGCATCTTCCGGAATGAACCAGCGGTCACCGTCTGACAAAACTCTTACTTTAGCGAGGTGAACATCGTTGAGCAAGTATGAGTAGCACAGCTTCTACTACGGAGCAGCCAACATCATTCTACCGCCTAATGTCTTCTAAGGGACTCACTTCGTAGGCATGAATCGCATGCTCCAGAGAAGCCTGGGATAGGGGTTGTCTCGCGGACGGTTTTCTGATACCAGAGTCCTTTACAAGCGATAAAGCAAATGTATAATCTTCAGAACCAGGCGTGTAAGGAATAGGAGGCGCACTCGGGATGAAAGGAGGTAGTCGCATGTTTGTTCCACCGAAATACTGGCTGAGTATCGAGACCCAGAAAAAGCACTCTGGGGAAATCCTAACAGGCCCCAGATTCAACCTGTGATAGATAATATAACTGGGGAAACAGAGAGGAAAGCGCTATGGAGACAACAACCTATATCACCCCAAGTCTTTTTTAAATAGGGGATCGCTTGCAGGCTTGGAAGAAGCACTTTACGCATCCCTCCGTCACCTTTTCCTTGTTCCCTTTCTCTTCTCTGGAAGTAAAACATCTAGATAGGAGGTGAATACGCATATTCAGCGAGCCCCTGCAAACACATTCAGGCGTCATCTGCAATAATAGCATATGAGCACAATGCTACGACGAGTCTTCTGCGAAATTAGAGTTCAGATGCTACTCATCTGGAGACCACGACACGCAGTTCCAGAGCAGAAGGGCAGTGACGTAGGGGGGTGGATATCACAGTGACGGGTTCAGGGATCTTTGCATCCCGCATCTGGGCTGCATCAGCCCCACATCAGAGCAGCCCATTGCCGGTTAGCTTTACATGGGCCGTCACGGCCTAAGAACGACAGGTCGTGTTCTGTATCTTGTCAGCCCTTCTCTCGTCCTATCTGAACATCTCAGCATCTTGGTGTGCTGACGAAAGGGTCGTTGTATTGTTACAAACTTGCTTTCTATAAATTGTATTACCCTCAGGAGCTTATCGATGTGCCATTAGGTGCATTACATTATCAATGCATTATGGAGCAGTGTATAGAATATGACGCGAATAATTAATGTGAGAGGCGGTTTATACAACCAGTATGCGTCGACGAAACCGTCATGAGAAACTGTAGGGAATGTGACTTGCCAGTACCAGATCTTCCTTCTTTCAATGGCACTACTAGGTATGAGTCCAACTATTCTCAGTCATGATAGCCACGCTGACTTGGGATGCTTCACGGAGATTCCTTTCCTTGCGTTTTGTGTCACGAGGAGTGAGGCGAAGTACATAGCCTTTTCTGTGTGTCAGTGCAGAACAAGGCCAGTGAAAGATTATGAAAAGCCGTCAAATCATGCATATTGTAAGATTCGAGCAATCCAGAATATGCAAAACCATCGTTTGATTCGCCTGCTCCACCATTCGCAACCCAATCAATGCCGCAAAACCGGCGATTCTGACGCCGCAGAGAATTACCACAAACGATACACAGAAAACATGCCATTCTCGCCAATCTCTTAGACGGTACCGGCGATACTCAGGTCCCGAATCTCTTGCAGCACCTCTTCCACCCGCGCATCCAGCTCGCCCTGCGCATACTGATCTCTTGTGTTCGCATCCAGATACTGCTGTACTTGCGCCATTCTTGAGTACGCTTCCGCACAGAACCTCAGCTGAATCTTGACTAGCGCCTCGAAACTCGGGTCTAGGTAGGGTACTCGTAAATCGATAAGTTGAGGAAGTTCGGTGGTGAGGGTGTCGTTGAGTTGGTCGTATGCAGCCTTTGCCAACTGCTCGTCCTTCTCGGCCCGTGGTAGCTTAGTAACATCCTTGTCGGGCTTGTCGGTGAGCTTCCGGACTTGTGCGCGCATGCGGTCGTAGTCCATCTGCTTGTGCTCGCGCTTTGTGATACAGGCGTTGATGTCAGGAAAGTAGGAGCAGAATCGCTGGATGGGATCTAGGACGGTTGTTCGGTACGGGCCGTCAAGGGCCTTGATTGTCTCGGCGTCCAAGTCAGTGACGGCTTGCTTATATGAACGTGATACGCCATCTTTTGTTCCAGCGTCGCCGTAGAAGGCGTCGATGGTCTCGGCGATGCGCATTTGTGAGGCAGTCATGGCGCGCAGAGAGTCGAGATAGCCCTTGGCTTCCTTTTGAAGCTTATTCGCGGCGGTTTCCATGGTGCGGTAGCGACTGGCATTACGTTAGTGGTGTTGCCTTTGGTAAGATGCATTCTTCCTATATGGGGAGCATGGATAGTGAGTGAGGGGGGCGTACCGCTGCTCAGTCTCGAAGTCGCGATCATTTGTGCGCTCAACTTGGCCCGTCTTCATAAGAACTTGCGTCGTCGCGCGATTGACGCCTTTCTTGAACCCTGCGTCGTGTAAGCCGGCGGCTTCCTGGATGATCGTCGAGGGGCTCCTTACCGGTCCATGACATGATTGCGGTGTAGTCCCTCTATTTCCGGGGGGTAATATGTTGAGGAGAACGTGGAGTGATTAGGATCGTGAGTGGTAGTCGTGGTGTTGTGGGGAGAGCCGCGGGAATCAATGGAGACGGAGTTCCTGGTTGGGCGCAGTCGAGTGGTCGTTGGCGGGCGGCAGTGCCACAATGACGACGCTACAGGACCCCGGCCGCGCTTTCTGGTGGCTGAGCAACAACGATTCCGATTTTGATGCAACTGACCGACTTCAATGTTTTCACTTCGACCGCTGCAGCGTGCAGCGCCTTCACCTGTCCGCATCTGTTCAAGTTGCCTGCGGAGGTACTCCATTGCTTCAACAGTACGACAAAATGCTAGTGAGAGACAGAAGAAGGTGATATTCTCGGGAATCCAGCCTACCGGAGTACCACATTTAGGAAACTATCTCGGCGCACTGCGACAATGGGTCAAGCTTCAAGATGAAGCAAGCCCAGATACTACGCTTCTCTTCTCAATAGTTGATCTGCACGCAATTACCATAAAACAGGATCCGAGCGAGTTGGCAAGATGGAGGAAAGAGATGCTGGCTAGTCTGCTGGCAGTAGGTCTGGATCCAAGGAGATGCATAATCTTTGCGCAAAGCAGTGTCAAGCAGCATGCGGAATTGATGTGGATTCTGAGCTGTGGCGCAAGCATGGGCTACTTGGGACGGATGACCCAATGGAAGGTATGCGATCGCAAAAAGTAGGTTTAGCAAGGCACGATGTTAATCTTGTCTTTAGAGCAAACTCTCACTCCCATCCAATGCCTCCCCTCTCGACCCCTCGAATAACAAAGACGCCCTCAAGCTTGGTCTCTTCTCTTACCCCGTCCTTCAGCCGCCGACATCCTCCTCTACAACACAACCCACGTCCCCGTAGGCGAAGACCAAGCACAACATCTTGAGTTCACGCGAGAACTAGCCGCCGGCTTCAACCACGTTTACTCCAAATCACAGCCTCTGTTGACAGTTCCACAAACACTTCTGAGCCCCGCGAAACGAGTCATGAGCCTGACTGAACCAACAAAAAAGATGAGCAAGAGCGACCCGAAACCGAAGAGCCGCATCATGATAACAGACTCAAAAGACGAAATACACCACAAGTTGAAGACTGCGCTGACTGACTCGATCGAAGGGGTCAGCTATAGTCCTGAGAGCAGACCGGGTGTATCAAACCTAGTGGACCTCATGTATCATTTTGATGAGTCGCTTGCTGTGTCACCGGAAGATCTAGCAAATGACCTCAAAGATTTGAGTATGCGGGCGTTGAAAGTGAAGGTCGCGGATACCATTGATACAGGCATTAGCGATATAAGGCAACGGTATGAGGAGTTGATGAACGGAGATCAGAAAGAACTAGTCCAGTATGCGGAAGAAGGCACACAAAGAGCAGAGAAGATTGCCGAAAGCACTATGCAGAGGGTAAGAAGCGCCATGGGCATGGCATGGTGAACCATGCAAGGTTTAGGACGATGAGCCTAAAGTCGGACCAGACATCCTATCGTCTCGTTACGATATCTTCTAAGAAGACCAAACCCGCACCATTTTTCCCACACACACACACACACACACAAAACATCAGGTTGACCTGCTTGTCGTTGCACAACAAACTTCACAGATTCATGCGTCTTCGAGCTATCGTTAGTAAAAATGCCTACGGCATAATGTCCTTCTCAGCTCTCGACACCCGCCTGAATTCCCACTGTCCTCTACAAACATGACTTTCTTCGGGCTACACACCCGTTCCAAATATATCCCCAGGCGGCTCATCACAGGACGAGGTCAACAAGACTACCACCCGAAGTATATGTGCATCACGTAAACCTTGTCACGAATCTCAATGTGTATTTCATGCATTCCATAGTCTACGTCCACTCAAATGCAGCCACTGCGCCGCAAACCGCAAGCCCAAAGTAGCCATGCCTCGTATGATAAAAAATTGACCCGATAACTCCTTTCCTATGCAATGCAAATGCCATTGTAATCGTGACCGAAATGTAGGCGCAAAAGCCCGTTGAAAGCGTAACGCCATCAGTCCCATACCAGAACCGAACGCCGCGCTTATAATGAAGATGTGGAAGAAATCCGAGGAATCGAAAGATGGGGAAGGGGGTGAGAGGGACAAGCGGATGTACTAATGCGCGCATGTCCACCATATCGTGGAACAGGGTTGAGGGTAAATGGGGCAAGGATGTTCGGGTCAAACGACGACAATGATAAAGGGAGGGGCGTGGACGTCGATGATGATGATGATGCTCCTGATGAAGGCACCATAGTGCCAGGGTCGGAACTCGATGTCTCAGATGGAGGTGTCCCGCCCCTTAACGACCCTTTCATGCGGGCCAGAGACGTGCGCATGATGAGGGGTTTGGAGTTGCAATCCATGGGCAACATCTAGCGCTTCATGGGGGTGTCTGCATCTTCCTCTTCAGCATCGTCATCATCGGCCTCGAAATCGGAGTCCATTTCTTGATCCTCGTCCAGGTCGCTCTCGCTGCCGCCAAAGTCCAAGCTCTCGGCATCGCTGTCTTCCCAGCTCATGTCAAACTGACCCTCATCCTTCTCTTGCTTCCATGCTGTTTCGTGGGTTGGCATGATAAAGTCCTCTGGAATATCCGCCTTTGACAACTCGAGATCCTTCTTCACCATCTCCTTGTACTCTGCAGGCTTATTGCGCAGCATTACTCCCGCGTCGACATTGGCAGGCGAGGAAACCTCAGCATCGTCTAGCAGGGAGAGAATAGATATCAGGACCGTCTCTACACGTTGTACGGGCGACCAGCGCTCGGCGGCAGTCTCGCCGGACATCTCGTCATCGCCAGGCGGGTGGAGGATGGAAATGCAGAGACGGCCGTCAGGGTAAATGTTCGGGTGATAAAGCGGGCGGATGAACTTGAAGTCTGGTAAATGGTTAGCTCATTCCCTGCGCTTCGCGACTCTTTCCATGCTTGGAACGTAGTATTGGCAGTGGCGTACCTGGCGGACTATGCGGGTAGTTGCGAGGGAAAGTCATCTTGGCCTTGAAATAACCACCATAGTACATGGACTCTTCGTTCATAACGATTAGGGCGACACTCCACTCGAAAACGTTCTCGTTGATGAGCTGTGACGTGGTTAGCTTGGTGCTCCTGCATCGCCACTCTGACTGTGACTCTTGGCGCAACGTCACTGGGACTTACTTCGATGTTGGTCCACTTCTCCTTGCTCAGCTGCTTGAACTCATTCATGAGTATCCGCTGCGCCATTTCCGCCATGTTGCCTTCTCTCGTTCTTAGATCTTTACTGAAGCGTAGCGTTCGTGGTGTTGCAGAAACAGTACAGTATTGGCGCAGGTAGTCGGTCGAGTAGATTTGCACGTATAACAGAGAGGGTGTGGGGTAGAGGGAGCGCCTTGGTGAAATGTGTGAGGAGTGAGAGAGAGGCGGGAGGGTGAGAGTTTGTACTTAAGGGAGTCGGTCGGCTGAGGCGCTGCATGATCGAATGCTCTCGCCGAAGCAAGGATCACTTAGTCCGCCCCTCGGAAAGAGCCTAAGTCACCGCTTCCGAACTTGCGGACAACGAGTGGAACCTTGGCCGTGGTACTCGTTGTCTGCAGCGACTCGCCGTCACCTCGTTCCTTTGTTCGTCGGCAGAGTTGCTGTTGGAGCACTGTGGTAGGCCCGCGTTCTGTCTTTGGCAAGCTCGCCTTTGTTCCTTCCGACCTCGGAACGAATAGGAACGGTACGGAATGACACCGTCGATGTGTTCCAAGGTTGTCATGCTCGCGTGATAGCGAAGAGTTGCGGCTTATCTATCAATGAAGGTATCATCACCCGTGGACGTCCCTTTAGAGTGTCATGTGAGCGTGTCAATAAAGTAACTCAACACACGCTACTAAAATCGCAGTGTTTTCTGAATTACCATTGTAGACACCTTCAGAAGCCGAAACAGCACTATGCAGTGTTCTTTGCTTTATCTGTTCGCAGAAGCCAATCGCTTCGGCCAACACCTGCATGGCTCATCGTGCAGGTGCGCCATTGTCGTCATTTTAGGCTTGCTTGTTTCTTACACGACTTTAGTATCGCACTCTCAGATACTTCACATCACCCTGCACGTAATGAGAATTGTGGCTGATAATAGACAGCCGGCCATTGAACGGTCTTGCGTTTGAGAACAATACTTTTCTATTCTAGAGTGTACGTCTAAAGCCGATATGATCGTGTATGACATGACCCAGAATTACGACAACCCCCAGTACACCACGCTGGCGTTAATACGTTTACTGAACGAAAAACCAATAATACTAAACATACGAAAGATAACAATGCAAACATCGTCACAGTGACGGAACGAGGAATTACCAATCAAATGTATCGCATCTTCTTTGCAACTCCCAAGCAGACCGAAACAAAGAGACAGATAACACCGATAATGCCGAAGAACCACGCAAGGCTGCCATCCTGGCCCGGAACCTTCACGTTCATACCGAAGAGACCGCAGATCAAGTTGAGCGGAACAAGGATTGTAGCAATGACTGTAACCTTCTGAAGCGTAGCGTTGCTGTCATTTCCTTGAATGACTTGGTCAACCGAGATTTGCGCGAGGTAGTTGGAGTGCGCGCGGCTGAGCATCTTCTCGAAATGAGCCAAGTTGGACATCATAGTGACAACGTGATCCTGTATATCGCTGAGATACATGCCCACGTCACCCCGAGGAGCAACGCTGTACGACTCGTTGCAACGTTTGGCAAAGCCCTTGATGACATCTGCCTTGCCGCCCAAGAGACGCAGGAGCTGCATGACACGCTTGCGGCAGTCCCCAATCGATCGAAGAATGGCGCGAGAGTCTTCGATACGTGCAGTGAAGACTTGATCCTCAATCGCATCGGCTTCATCTTCGATGCCTCGAATGACCGGTGCAAAGCTATCGACAATGTCATCGATGAGGGCGTAGCAGATCCAGTCGGCGTTCAGGTTGATGTAGTCGCGAAGACGGCTGATACGCTTGCGCACGTTGAGCGTGTGCGGGCTCTCACAGAAGGTGAAGGTCAGAATACCCTCCTTGAAGACAACTGCGTAGAAGTTGACGGGTTCCAAATATTCCTCCGACTCCTTGTCGGCTTGGAAGAAGGAGCGGAACGAGACAAAGTAGTATTGATGGAATAGCTCTACTTTCTCACGCGGCTCTTGAATGCAGATATCCTCGCGAGTAAGAGGATGCACTCCGAAAGCCTTGGATATGGCGAAAACTTCCTCTTCTGTGGGATTGACCATATCGAGCCACCAGACGCCGCCGTCTGATGGTGTGTCAAACAGATCGCGGAAGCGTTCGCCGGGCATAAGCAGTCCGCCTAGTTCGGCAGCATGGATTGTGTCGTCCAACTCGGACGAGAAGAACGTCCAGCGGTTGGTCTTCACTTCCGGGGTCTGCTTCTCCGCAAAAATATGCGACAGACCTTCCTCAGCAAGCTTCTCTTGAACTGCAGGGTCTGCGTTCTTCAGACTCAAAACGTCACTTTCGGTCTTGGGTGTTCCTGACTGGCTTGACTTGGGACGAAGGTCGAGAAGACCTTGGGCTTTGCGGAAAGGTTAGAAGCTACGCTCGCCTTGTGGCGCAGAGGCTGGCCAATAGGTGTCTTTTCGTGAGCCTCTGCCACAAACTCCTCCAACTCTTCGTAGTCGAACCTGGTGGTCTTGCCTGTGTCCTCGGATACAGGGAAGCATACATCCTCCTGTGCTGAGCTGTGCGCTGACGCGACTTCGATGTCGTGTGGCTGATCAGGTCGCTCGTCGCTGATAGTTGGTCGGCGTGCGGTGCCGCGAGAAAGCGTCCTGTTCAATCCGAGCTCAAGCTCGGAGCCTGCGTGGCTCTGAAGAGTGTTGGCACGGTCGCGGCGCCGAGGGCCGGCGAACGCGTCGACAGAGTTGGGAGGAGAGACGGATCGCGAAGTGGTCGACGAAGCCCTGCTCCTAGTCAGGCGCTCGATTGCCGGGTCGCGCGGGCGTCGGAATGTCTCTCGACGAGCTTGGGGGCTGTGTGCTAGAGAGCCGCGGCGGATGTAGGCATCGGGAGCCAAGTGCTGGTCATCGTCCACTACAGCGCTTTCGAAATCACGTCGAGTAATGTCTGCCTCGAGGGCTTCGTTGACTTGGAGTAGGATGTTGGGTCGGTCTTGACCCTGGACGCTTGCGAAAGTTGGCCGGCGCGACCTAGGAGGCGAAGATGCATCGGCTCGTGGAAGGGATACAGGCTGGTGGCGGTGGTCGTCGAGGTCAGACACCGGGGTGCTGAACCTCGTCTGGTGGTCGGATCTCGGAGTGTCAGTCATATTGGCGACTCAGGCGGCGATGAGTAGGACTCGAATCAGATGTCGTTTGCTTTGGTTAAGCCAGATTGTTGGTGTATTCAGCGACTTCTTGCAGCGCAAGAACCACAGAAGCGGGCGAGTCGCTTGTGAGCGCCCACCTCTAAGGCGCGCTCAACTTGACGATGGCTTCGCGTAGGGTCGTCCCCTACACTAAGCCGATGGAAGACAGAGTTCGGTAGCCAGACTTCCACACCCTCGCTGGGAATGGGAAGGATTGTAAAGACGGTGATGCAGTAGCGAATGTGTTGTGTATGCCGTTAGGGCCAATTATGGTGGCTTGTGGTCGCCTCCGTATACCCAGGCTTTTGTGCCGAGCAAGGGGCGGATGAAGGAAAGCTTGTCGAGGTAGAGTCCCGCCAACTTGGTGGTTTGTATGTATATCGACGCCGTAGCGTCAGAAGGTGCGGTGTAAGGGGATGGTTGCAAAAACAAAGACCCCTTGAGTGATCAGTCACAGTGGTGGATGGCGGTCCACGGGGATAAGTGCCGGATAGATGGAGGGTGCGCGATCGCGACTGCTGGAAGTTTGTATCGTGAGGCTGTTGGGAATCGATGGGAGGTGCGGTGGGTGGGAGTCCAGGCGGACGGTGGGAATGTTGTTTGAGGGACGGTGCGGGACTCAAATACGGGCAGTTGAGCGATGGGTCAAGGAAAAAGCTTGTGCAAACGGAGCCTACTGGCCCAAGCTGATTGGGCAGAAGCGCAACCAGACGTGCATGTGACGCGTCCAGAACGCAGCCGCTGTGGGGAGTTCGCGACTGAAACTGTTACCGTCAATTCCGCGGCCTAGTTGACCTTGGTTCTTGCACCTTGACTAGGAACCAGGTACTGCATGTCGTTGCTGCGTCAATCTTGGGCGTGAATCAAGAGGCGTTCTTAGTGAGGGTTAGTGCGGCTGCGGACCCTTGCATTTCCATGGTTGCCTGTGTGGCTTGTGAACATGCCACCTCTCCAAGACAGTTAGGCCGTCGGACTCTGAGTAGACAGTTCCAAGTGATACCCGGTACCTGAACTAACTACACTTGCTCCGGGTCGCAATACCACAGACACATCCCGAACATCCAGCACACCCCATCAGCATGGCAGACCAGCTACTTGAGCAAGCGCGCGACGCGTTCGAGGGCCAGATTGTATGCGACAGCAACGCTGCTACTTCAGTATACGCATTCGCTAACATGAACAGGACTTTGAAGGTCAGAGGCTTGCAGAGATGATGAGCACTGTCCTGCTCGGAGCAGCTGGTGTATGGAACCCCCCCTCTTCCTAGTTGCATCAAGAAATTGACCGGCATAGATCATCGCATTCATCGTTGGCTTCCTGCAGCAAGACATCCGACTAGCACTCTACATCGGCCTCGCCGGCTCCGCCCTCACATTCCTCGTTGTCGTGCCCCCGTGGCCTTTCTACAACAAGAACCCTGAAGACTGGCTCCCACCGCACAACTCAACGTCGCAGTACAACATCGACGTGGACGGGCAAAAAGTCGGATAGTCGCTCGAGGCAAGAGAGGGACAAGCTGCATGGTCAGAACAACTTCATGATCGTAATGGAATCTGATTCGACGATGATGACCGCCTATGTCGCTACTTCATGCTCTCATAGCCCTTTTGTGAAGGCCCTACTAACGCCAGACGTCCGAATGAAACCAAGACCCATGTTTGTTCCTGTTGAAATCCATCTCTCCCCAGCTTTCGCAAGCGTTTAGCGACCGTACTTCTGGAACTCCCAGTCTCGGTTGTCTAGCGGGCAGACTTGTCGGGTCTTGAGCCATCGTGAAATGCAGTGGAAGTGGAAGGCGTGCTGTTGTACGTTAGTACTTGCCAGTGAAGTGTTGTCAGGGAACCTACGTTGCAAATACCCCAGGCGACTGTGCATTCCTCGCTCGTGGCGGAGGCTTGGTTGGCCTGGCATTCAATGCAAAGGTCCATGATGTGGTTGCGGCAAATGGCGCAGTTGTCGACGACGATATCCCATGCCCAGAGAGCGACCGCATTCCACTGAGTAATGTTAGTTTCAATCTCCCTATGTTGCCTTCTGTCGTGTGATGCCTACCTTCTTCACCTCGAACCGTTTCTTCTCGCCTTCTCCGCCAGCACTGGCCTTGCCGGTCTTGGTCTTGGCCGGGGGCGCATCTGCCATGTCGACGTCCGCCATTATTGTGTTATGTATCGGAGTGGTGGGGGATGCGGGGAGTTGGTCGGAGTTGAAGCTCTTGAGGTGGAAAGAGGGCGGTTATGAGCGGTGTGAGAGTTGTGGCGTTTGGAGAGGAACCTATTACAGCTCCCAGTATTATATGGGGTGGCGAAGTGTGGTTGAGGTGCTCCCAGTGTGTTTGTGAGGTGAAGGCGCAATGTGCAGGCGTCAGGCTCCAGCTGCGAGCTCCAAAATGCCAAGCCCTGGCCCTGTCTACCAACCTTGGGACGGCGTGACAGATGAAAGGGAGTAAGAATTGTCTCGCTAAACGTTCAAATCCCTTTCAGACGAACAAACGTCGAGATTCAACCAGCTCTTACGATTCAAAGACCGGCGTCCAACAGACTCCCGCTTCCATCATACCCGACGTGCCAACCACTCAGCCCTACGCCGCCGCAATCGTCAGTGCGCCTTGCCGAGATCAGCCTTGTTTGGTCACAGCCACCTCCGCGCCGTTCACCGTCGATGCGACCGAGTCTGCTCACAACACCCTCACCCTTCGCCCTACTTCACCCGACGGCGCGTGCCTATCTATACCCCGCGAATCTGGACATGACCACTTCAACATCTAACCCTTACCCAATCCCACCTTATCAGACACAGACAAAGACACAGACCGCGTCATCGCCCACCTTCCAACCCACTTGCATATCACGAACCAAGAGCGTCCGCCTGCGCCCTTCCAGATAATCCGGACTCATCCCATCGCAATACAACACCACAAACAGCGCCTCACATGTCGACGGCACAGACTACTGCTTCTCCACTCGCTCCTCGGGGCAAGCCGCAGAGCCCAGCTCAGGCACCGCACACCAATCAAGGCCGGCAGTCGCAACGGAAACCGAGAGGGAACCGCGCACACAATGGCTACAACCAAAACCAGTACAATGGAGCAGGAGCGTCCCCGAGCAAGATGCCTGCTGAACTCGCCCACGCGGAAGGCACGGTTTACTCAGGTGAGGACGCGCATATGCCACCAGGACCGCGCAACATGAGGAGGCCCAACAACCGGTCTCATCCCTCCATCGACCGCGTCTTCTCTCCTCCTGAATCAGAGCCCGTTCCCATTAATCCGTCGGCTACTCCGGCCAAGATCCAGGCCGCTTATGCGGGGCCTACTTTCCATGCCTCTCCTGCGCCTTCTGCTCTGCCTATACCCAAGTTTCTTTCTCGTTCTGTGCCGGCGAAAACACGTGCTGGTCCACCAACACCTCCGCCCGAAGATAGTTCTGATTCTGCCTCTCCGAGTCCTTCTGCTTCTCCTTCTCGTGCCCCGGTGGCCGCCCCCCCTCGTAATGAACAATCCCCGCTGGATCTGCTTTTCAAGGCCGATGCAGCAGAGAGAGCCAAAGGCAACCATGGACGCCCATTAGCGCACGGGCCATTCAACCCAGTGGATGCAGCCAGACCGCAGCACTTCAAGCATGATTCTTACCATTCCATGAACGGCGTCTTTCCCATAGAGCTTGATGGTGAAAGCAAGCACGCGCACATGTCTCCTCCTCCCGTAGCATCACCAGCTTCGCACCGCTCCGTCACAGACCCCAATAAAGTCACGCAGCTAAAGGACGTGCAGCAGCAGGGCCACGGCAATGATGTGATGCAGGACCTTTTCAATCGACTTTCAATGTCGCAGAAGAAGCCTTCTGCAACGCCTCCTCGACCGGATGCTCAAGGACCCCAAGGATTTTCAGGCCAAACACCGTCACCCTTCCATGACGGTCGGCCTCCTGCTCAAACTGCGTCGGGGCCCACCACACCGCAGACACAGCCTCTGAACCAAGACTCTGACTTCTTCTATGGCAACCGAAACCTTTCTCCACTCTTCAAAGCAGCAAAGGGAGATTCAGCAAAGAAACGCAACTCCGGTCTCCGCACTGAGATCTCAGCCGAGTCTCCTATGGTTGGACAGGGCGATTTCCAGAGTTTTCCTTCTGGTCCTCCCGCTCAGATGATGGATCCCAACGCCTTCTCTCGAAACCAGCCAGGAAACAGCAATGGAGGCCACCCGAATGCGCCTCGTTCATCAGCACCTTTTGTGCAACACTACCAGCAGAGCCCAAACAACCGCAGGAGGACGCCTGGTCGACAGCCACACCAGCCTCGTCCTGATTCTCACCAAGCAAGAGGCAACATGACCGGACCTGGCAAAACAGCCGCCAACGGTCCTCCAGCCTCTGCTGCGAAGCCTCCCACAAGTATGATGTCTTTTGTCCCTTCCTCCGTCGCTGCCAAACAACGTAAGACATCAGCACCCGCCGCTACCGCGGGTGTTTCACCAATGAAAACCTCCACCCCTTCCGATACGTTGTCTTTGGAGCAAGATCTCAAGCGTTTGCTCAATCTCAATCCGGCTGGCGAGTCCAGCGTCAGGTAGTCGGTCGTCATCACGAAGCCTCTCATATCTAGACATCTATTCCGTCCGACACCTTCCTTTATTTATATCGATTCTCTATTTGTTCCATGTTCATGGTTCATGATTGTATTTTCATTTTATTTGGAATTTCTGGCGTTAGGAATGACTGGTCGTCATTTTGTTTTGTGGACGTAGTGAGCATTGATGGGCATGTCGTCTCAGGTTCCTTGGTCTAGCGCAAGCGTTTCTTTCGCTACTGTTCATGAATGGGTGCATGGACACGGGATCCAAGAGTTGGACATTAGGCGTTCTCTGGCACCATGTTTTCATGTTCCGGTGCTTAGGCACTTTTTGGGGGTTGTCTCGACTGGCTATAAGAAGTGAGCTTCCTACGATATTATTCTGCTATCCA